ATAGATAGACAGATTTTATACATACATATGTATATGTGTGTACATATTTACATATATACATATACATGCACACACATATACACACACATATAGGCTTTGCTCTCAGATATTCCTGCAGTTCTGAAATGATCTTTTATTGAGGGTTCAAAAGCAGAAAATATACCAAGCAGGGGAAGTAAAAAAAAAACAAAACAACCATTGACCCTTTCATACATTAGATTTCACCCTGTAAATGCTAAATTAATGTGTGAAACTTTCGAAAGCTCTCAGGTGTTGAATTTCTCAATCACCAAAGGTTTTATTTTATGAGTTCCTATTAGCACATGTAAGAATAGTCTAGCTATCTTCATTCTGCTTGAGCTCAGGGCCACTTATTTCTCTGTCAAATGCCAGGGTGGAAGTTGGCAAGCCCCCTCCTCCCCCCAAAAAAGAGCAGCATAATCATTAATTTGAAATTTTAAGATTCTGTTCTCATTAGCCAGAATTACAGCTGTGTGGCTTTTTCATAATTATTGAAAAAGTCATAATTTTTTCTACAGTAGCATTTTTTAAAAATAAATTTTTATCTTCTACATCATCTTCATTTTCTACTGTATCCCACTCCCCAACTCCTCCTAGAAAGCCATCCCTTAAAATATAAAAAAACAAAAAAGATCAGCAAAATTCACCAATATCTTGAAAAAACCTTATTTTATATGTAGTAGTCCATACCCATAGCCCTCCACTTCTACAAAGAAGAGGAGGCAGATCCTTTCTCATATCTCTTCTTTGGGACCTAGCCTGTTCTTTATCATTTAACAGCATTCAAGTCTTATCTCTGAAACATACTGGTTGCATGACCCTTGTCAACCTCACTTAACTTCTCAATGTTCTGGGGCAACTCTTTGACTATATAAATTGCAGGGATGCTTCCCTACTTTGGTGCAGGGAGTTTCCTCATTCAATAGTTCCCTTTATCAATGAAATGACAAGTTTAGACCCTGTCTCTTATCAAGATAGAGCAGGGAGCTCCTTAATGTACTCTCAATTCTGGATATACATCTCAATCCCTGGTTGCCAAAGCATCCCAGATGCTTCTGCATGATATATTTGACTGGAGCCTGTAGCTTTGGCAAGTTCAGTTGCTGCAAATTATCATTATTATTTTCATGCATGCTTATGATTCTTTGTCATTGGAGGCATTCAAGCAAAAACCGAGGGACTACTTCTTGGGAACATCAGAGAGAGGATTCCTATATTAGTGAAGAATTTGGATAATATGTCTCTAAAGTACCTTCCAGATCTAGAATTCTGGGGTTTCAAAACAGGTTTGTTTGCTTGTTTGTTTGTTTTACCAGCTGTGTCAGACTTTCTGTGTTGCCTGCTTGTAATACCGAAGCCAGGCTTTTCAAAATGCAGATGGCTATTCCACAAGGATTTTGTCTTTTTAAGGTTTGGGTCAAAGAGGGTGGTACTGTCTGCTCTTTTATCTGGGAGGCACTCATACGGAACATTATCCGGTCCCCTTATTGGGGTGGGTGCATTGTATGGTGCTTGAGATGACTTGCTCTGCAAAGAATTTCAACATTATCTGAGGAAGGACACCATACAGGGGAGCTAGGCGAACTAACTTTGCACTATGCCATCAACATTTTCCTGAATTTGCCTTTTTTTGGGGGGGCAATTGAGGTTAAGTGGCTTGCCTAGGGTCACCCAGCCAGTTAAGTGTTAGGTCTGAGGCCAGATTTGAACTCAGGTCCTCCTGACTTTTCAGGGTCCATGCTCTATCCGCTGTGCCACCTACCTGCCCCCAAATTTACCTTTTTTTCAAGCCACATTCAGAAGTGGAAAATTGGAATCAATATTGAATCAATCAGTATTTTATAAAAAAAACTTACATGCCCAGCTCTGTTTGTGCTGAAATGTGTCAAGTCAAGTTGGTGAGCATTTATTAAGCACTTACTATGTGCCAGGCACTGAGCTAAATGCTGGGAATACAAATGCAAACAAAAAGAAAGATAGTCCCTGCTCTCAAAGAGCTTACATTCTAAATAAGGAAGGTGATAAGTATTTATTATGCACAAACTACCAGCCATTTGGCTTAACTGCTTTGCAAATAGTAGCTCTTTTGATCCTTGTAACTGGGAAATAGGTGTTATTATTATCTCTATTTTACAATTGAGGAAACTGAGGCAGATAGAGGTTAAGTGACTTGCCCAGGGCCACTTAACTAGTGTCTGAGGCTGGATTTGAACTCAGGTCTTACCTGACTGTTGGCCCAGTTTTCTATCCACTGTACCATTCAGATGCCTTGGTGGGAGGAAAACAGCACACAAAAGGGAGATGAAAAGCTAAAAGAAGCAGGCCAGGAGATCACAAACGGTAAGAAGGCCACAGGTTAGAGGCATGTTCCAACGTGAGAAAGCTGCTGGGATGTGGCAGAGAAATCCAGAGAGTCAGGAGTAGAGCCAGGAGAGGAGTGTGCACATATAGGTTACAGTCCTTTCTACAGCATGGTTTAGCTAGTGGCTCCCTACAGCAAATTCTGCTCCCCCATCCCCCACTTTCCCCAGGTTATTGAATTGTTCTAGTTGATGTATTAAACAGGCTTTCAAGGGCCATTGGAGTCTAGGTGGTCATCACTCATTGCCCCATCACTCATTCCTCACCCTTCCCCTTCCTTCCTCCTCCAACAAAAATACTTTTCAGAGATGTCCTAAGCTTTCAGAGAGTATTTTGTTGGCAGGTACTTTGCCTAATCCTCTTTCCCACCTTCCTCTTCCCAGACCAGACAGCAAGCAGAACGTTCTTTCTTTTGTCATTGGCCCTCTCACCATCAAGGAAAAAGCCTCTTCTAATCTGCCTCCTTTTCCTCACTCTCACTATGCTTTTCTTCTTCTGGCTCCTGTGGTTTTTTCTCATATTTCTTGACTTTTGCTCAACATTTCTGGCCTATTAAAAATATCACCAGCCAATTACAAGACTCTTCTTCTAGCTAGGTAAGTGAACTTACTAATAGGGTGTCAGGATATAATTCTCACATGTGGATTTGCTTTGTTTTCTTTGTTACTGAGTGCTCCCAAGAAGAGTAGAGGTGAATTTTCCCTTAATTTATGTCAACGCGTGCTTCTGTGAGCCCAATTCTTTGAACAATGGACCAGAATAAACTATAATATGATGTAAAATTATTTGATTAGTTATGACCTTTGGTCAAATCGCTTTATCTCTACAGACCTATCTCCTAATTCCTTTATCCCTCTATACTAAGTCACTTGGCGATCTCATCAATTCCCATAGATTCAATTATCATCTCTATGCTGATGATTTTCAAATCTATTTATACAATCCTAACCTCTCGAGTGACCTCCAGCCTAGTATTTCTAACTCCTACTGGACATTTGCGACTGCAGACAAACTGGCCTACTTCTTGTCTCATCGTCTTCAAGAAGTCTTTCCTAATCCCTTTTGAGGCTAGTGCTTTCCCTGTGAAATTATCTCTAATCCTTCTTGTATATATCTTATTTGTACACAGTTATTTTTATGTTGCCACCCCCATTAGATTGTGAGCTGGAAAGCAGAGACTTGTATGTGTGTGTAGTTTTGGGTTTTGGTTTTTATTTCTTTGCAGTGTTTAGCACAAGTGCCTGGAACATAGCAGGTGTTCAAGAAAAGTTAGTTGACTGCCTGATTGGCTGTTTCCCAAATATAACATTCCACCCTCCACCTCTATGCCTTTGGAAAGGTTGTTCTGCCTTCCTGAATCCCACTTCCTCCTCCCCTTGGCTTTATAGACTCCTTAGCCCCCTTCAAAGCTGAGCTCAAATGCCAGCTCTTGCAGGAAGCTTATCCTGATTCCAAGTTGGTCATGCCCTCTCCTCTATTCACTTTGTATATATTTTGTGTTTGTTTTGCTGTGTTCACTTTATTTCTCCTCAACAGAATATATGTTGCTTATGGGCAGTCACAATTTTGTCTTTGTATCAGCAGTGCCTGGCACATTATAGGGACTTACTAAATGCTTGCGGAATGAATGAATGAGTGAATAAATGAATTAATGAAATGAGGGAATTGTATTACACAATCCTTCTCTAGTATCCCTTTCATCCCTAATGATCTTATGTTTAGATAGTCACATAGTGGATTCTCCAAGGGAATCTTACGAACAGAAAGCTGTAACAAGAAGGATTGTTATTATCATGTATATTTACAGTTTCTTCTCAACAAATTTACATATTTCTACTTTCTCTCCTGCCATCCCTGGAGGAGTATGTAGCAATAGTTACTCTTTGCAGAGGTGAAAATGGATACAGTAATGAAAAGAGTACATAATATTCCCAGGGTAAATCCCTCCCCCACCCCGGGAGATACAGGGGACAAAGGCAGTGCTGATAGGACAGTTCCTAATTTTCCGCAGCCCGGTGTTAAGCTAAGTAAATAACTGTTTCCTGGGGGGAGCTAGGGTTAAAGCGGGGTGGTGGAGAAGCTTGAATCCCAATTTGTACACTTAGACACAAACTCCAATTATGCTGGGAAGCTTGCCCACATCTGCTAAAATCATTTTTTTGTCTTGTTATTCTTTGACTCAGCATGAAAAGCTTCTTAACTTTTTAACTATTGTGGACTCCTTTGGCAGCCTGGTGAAGCCTATGGACCTTTTCTCAGAATCATGTTTTTAAATGCATAAAATAAAACACACAGGATTACAAAATACACTCTATTAGTGTGAATGGGTTTTTAATTCACTCTTCCTATACTGAAATGAAGATGTTTTTTTTCCATTCAAAGTTCCCAGACTCCCTAAAATATATACATAGAACTCGGGGGGGGGGGGAGTCTGTGGACCCCCAGTCATCTCTGAGGGAGGAGAAAAAAAGTGAAAGAAAAGAAAGTTACATGATAACTTTGTTATATGTTAAAAGACTAGCAAGTTGTACATAATAGATTTGCAGTTTCATGAACAATCATCTTTTTTTTCTATTCTACTATGTTATGAAAATGCTTGTTTTATTTCTTAAGTTCAGAATAAAATTTTAAAAAATTTAAAAAAAGAAGCCCTGGGTTAGACTCTGTTAGACCTTTTGATTTTGCAGTGAAGGAAAGTTGTGAGTAAAAGAAAACACAAGTTTCTCTAGTATTCAAAAAGACAAAATTAAGAGGAAGAGAAAACATTTTAAGTTTTTCTAGCAATCAGATTCCTAGGGAGCAGTTAAATGATCAGTCCTTTGAAGTAACTTTAGTTACCCTTTTCTTTAATATCACTTTAAAAAAGTCTGTACCAATAATAGACACATCTGGTTTTCTTCCTATAGGTGGAATATTGGCAACTTCATGACATTTGAGTGTGTGATAAGCATTGTGCCATCCAGAGTTAAATGGCCTGTTGGAATTCTTTTTCTGTTCTTGTGGCAACCTAAGAAAATAGAACCACATAAAAATGTTAACATGACATAGGCCAGGACTATGGGAAACCTATTTCTTATCTTCCCCAAATAATCTCCTTTAACTCATTACCTGTTGTATAAATAGTCAAAATGAGCTTTTCATTAGCAGATGGGGGAAAATAACCTTGGCCCAATTCTACTACCCATTCCAAGGATCTCAAATTTTTTTCTTCCCAATCATTTCTGTGTACCTTGAAGAACAATTGATTCTCATTGCTTCAGATTCTTATTTAACACCCTCCTAGACTCCAAGAAAGTTTTACCATTCCACTAAAACTCCCACATGATAGGTTTCAGTGACCTCTTAAGTATCTTCATTTTAGTGTTCCATGTGATGCTTTTGATCATCTTCTTCTTGATAGGTTCCTTAAAAGCCATAAGATTCTATGGTTCTGTTCTTTACCTTTATTTCCTTAATTTCTCCTAGAGCCTCCTTTATCCACCCTTTTATTTTTTCTCCCCATTTCCTAATTGAAGTATCCTTCAAAAACCTCTTTGATCCTCTCTTCATTCAATAAGTCAATGAACGAGCATTTATTAATCACCTATTATATACCAGGCATTGTGCTAGGTTCTGGGGAGATAAAGACAAAAAAAAATGAAATAGTGCCTGACCTCAAGAATCTTATACATAGGTTATCTCATAACATAACATATATATAACATATGTTATACATAGGTTATCTCATTTGAATCCTATAATAATCTGTTGAGAAGAATAAAGAGAACCCTGGAGATCCTGCTATAGCAAAATAAATTGAAGAATTTGAGAAAGACTAGGCTGGAAAAGCCTTCAAGTTTTTGAAGGGCCATCATGTAGAAGAGAAATTAAACTTTTTCTATTTGGCTCCAGGGAGCAGACCCAGGAGAAGTGGGTATAAGTTGTAGAGGGGCCCATTTTATTGGAGAGTTAAATCCATTCACATTTAAAATGCTGTTATTTAGTTTGTGTTTTTCTCCATTTAATTATTTTGCATCAATTTTTCCCTCTTCATTTAAGGAAGCATTCAGTTCCTACATTTTGTTTTGCTTACATTAATTTGATCCCAGTTTGCTCCCATAGACTCTCCTTCCATCCTTATTACTCTATTCTAGCCCAAGTTCCTTAAGTTTATTTTATTGTTGTTGTTATATTCCTTTTCTTTTCACTCTTTTCTCTTTTGTTGTTATTCAGTTGTTTGGTCATGTCTGACTCTTTGTAACCATGTGCACCATACTGTCCGTGGGGTATTCTTGGCAAAGATGCTGGAGTGGTTTGCCATTTCCTTCTTCAGTGCATTAAGGCAAAAAGATGTTAAATGACTTTCCCAGGGTTACACAGCTAGCACAGCACCTTGCACAGTGGTAGACACATAGTATTAATAATATCGATGATAGCTAACATTTGTATAGTGCTTTAGGGTTTGTAAAACATCTTACAATTATAATCTCATATGATCCTCACAATAACCCCAGGAGGTAGATGCTATTGTAATCCCTATTTTCCACATGAGGAAACTGAGGCAAAGGTTAAGTGACTTGCCCAGGCTTACATAGATAAGTAAGTGCCTGAGGTAGGATTTGAACTCAGGTCTTCCTGACTTCTGCCCCAGATTTCTATCCACTGTGCCACCTAGCTGCCTCACAGTAGACATTTAATAACTACATACTGATTGACTGAAGAAAAAATGGGCATATGTTGGTCATGAGAAATAAATTATCTAATAAAAAATAAATAGCCTTTGCCATTCACGTATCTTGTCCTTTAGATTCCTACAACCATCTGTAAGGTACACCAAATAGGTACTAATAGCCCTGTTTTACAGATGAAGCATAGAAGGAATGTCAAGCAACTTTCCCCAAGTAACAGAATTATTAATGATATAAAAAAGAACCCTAAAATGATTATCAGAACCTGGGTTTGGGGCCTTTGAATGATTTTAGAAGCCCAGGATGTTTATTTTTCCCATTTTGTATTTACTCACCTCATTTTCTGAGGAGCTTGCATGTTAATTTCTTTTTTTATTTCAAGATCAGTGGGAGGATCTTCAAGGATGTTGAGGTCTGAAGTCTGTTCAGCCTAGCAGAAGGAACACAAACCTCACCATTCCAATAGTATCAGGGAACACAAATAAGCCTTGAGAGCCAAGGCACCATGCAACATGATTTTTTTTGTAATTTCAACCTATCATCTTCTACGTGATATAGTTTACCAGTCAAATGGTAATAGTAGAGTGAACTGCACTGAGTACATTTGGAGTCTAATCCTAGCTTAGCTGTGAATTCATTGTGTGACCCTAGCAAGTGACTTAACCTCTCTGGCTTCAGTTTCCTCTGGAAAACAAATGGATTGGAATTAGAATAGAGAATCTTACATATGTTCTAGATTAAAAAAAACAACATGATTCTTTGATTCTAAATATAATCTCCTTTTACAAGGGAATAATCATAGAATATTAATCTTTCAATTCTTGCTCTCATCTTAGGGGAGTTACATCATTTTCATAGGGGACAAACATACACATTGATGCTCCCTCAAGGATTCCAACTTCCTAGTTTTTCAAGCTCCTCAGTTCCTAGGATCTCCTTCCTTCAGTCCACCTCAGCTACATGGAGCGATGATCAAAATCTTGACCTTGACATGCTTCGACTTTCACATTCATGAACTATGATATTCATTTATCTGATCATAACTTTTAGCATTTCATCTTTCCCTCTGCCTTTACAACCCTAAGCCTTGTTCTTCAGCCTCACCGTGACTGCCAGTCTTTTTACCGTTTAAGTCTTTCTCAGGCCATCACTCCTTCCCTTGGCTACTCTCTGCATACTTCCCTGTCTTAACCCCTTGGTGAGCAAGGTCACCTCTACACTATCCTCTACACTCGAATCCATTGTCCACTTGTCCCAATCCTGATAATGTCTTGTCAAATGCCAACCTAAGATTACTCCTACCATTTTCTCCTATACCCATGCTGCTAAACTGAGCCAGAGAAGGCCACAAAACCAGCTCAAACTTCCAACAGTACCCCTTCTACTCTCTCTCTTCTTAGCGGCAGACCTTCATACATCACTGAAAAAAAATGAGGCCATTCATTGAGAGCTCCTTCTTCTTCATCCTCCTCATTTCATATCCCTAGGTTTGTTTGCTTGGGGGATGCATGAGATCATGATTCTGTTTAACTAAGTTTGTTCAATTTTTGTGGCCTAAGAGAATACACTAGATTGCTGTATGTCAAAAATTACTTCTCTGTTTCTCTGTAAAAGCCTCTTTAGAATCCTAATATTTGTTCAGGGTTATTCTTCTACCTCCTGAACCTGTGCTGAAGCAGAGTAAAAGCTAAGTGTTTACCTCTATAATATCTGCATTATGATAGATTTACTTGGCAGTAGTAACCTACCATATGAACTCAAAAAGGAGATAATTCTCCCATGACAAATTCGTTGTCCTGAAGGTATCTCAGACTCAATACATCCAAGACAGAGCTCAGTATATTTACCCTTAAATTATTCCCTTCTCCTAATTGTCCTGTTATTGTGGAGGCACCACTGTCCTCTCAGTCATGTTGTCAACCCCTAAAATTCCTCGTGAGCTTACTCCGCATGTCCAGTCTGTTTCCTAGGTTCTACCCTCTCAAGAATTCCCCGCTCTCCACTCACAGTCACCATCTGGTGTAGGCTATCAGCACGTCATGTGCGGACTACTGAAATAGGTCGCCAGTTGCTCTCTGAGCCTCAAATCTCTCTCCACTCCAATGTATCCTCCACCGAGTTACTAAAATGATTTTCCTAAAGTCTGGGTGTGACCACTCCCTGTTTCTCCCATACTTCTAGCACTTTTCCTCTGAGATTACCTTCTATTTACTCTGTATATCTCTAGTATGTGCATATTCAATCAATAAATTGATCAACTAGCATTTATCAAGCATCTATTATGTGTCCAGAATACAAAGAAAGTCCCCCCCAAATAGTTCTTGTTCTGAAGGAACTCACTGTGTCTATCATTACAATTTGAGCTCCTTCAAGGCAAGAATTGAATTTTTGCCTCTGTTTCGGTATCCCCAGTGTTTGGCAACAACAACAATGACAAAAACAAACATTTATTAAGCACTTAGTATGTGCCAGCTATTGTGCTAAACTCTTGGGAATACAAATGCAAACAAAAAGAAAAGCAGTCCCTGCCTTCAGGGAGCTTACATTCTAAAGGGGAAGATACCCATAAAAAGAAGCTGAAAAGACAGTGAGAAGGGGCGGTCACCATGGAGGCTGTGGTGGAGAAGTGCAGTGAGTCAGGAGTCAGCCTAGAGAGGAATGAAAAAGTGAACATGGCTGGCCTGGGTACTTTTCTTAAAATGGAGGTACCAAGGGGAACTGACCAATCAGAGGAAGAGGCTACAGGGATGGAGTGATTTTCCAGGGATGGAGTTGGAAGGCTTCTGGGTTATGGAGGAGAAAGAGAGCTGGGAGTGGAGCCCTGGGAGGGATGCACATAATACCTTTCCCTAAAAATAATAAGGTCTTAATAAATGCTGATGAATGACTGATTAGCTCTGGAGAGGACTTTAGGGGTCTTTTAGTCCCACCCCTTCATTTTTAATAATACTAGCTCACATTTATACAGTGCTTTAAGTACTATAAAGCACTTTACATACATGATCACTCTTATGCCTTACAATAACACTATATTGTTCTATTACTATTATTATTATTATACATATAAAGACATTGGAACAGAGAGAGGTTCAGTGACTTGTATAGGATCACATAGCCATTAAGTGTCTGAGGAGAGACTTGAACTCAGGGCTTCCTGACATCTCCAAGTCCAGCATCCTGTTGACTAGCTCATGTTGCTTCTCCATTGTGCCATCTTAACAGATAAAGAAAATGAGGGTCATAGAGGCCAAGTGACTTGCCCAAAATTGCATATCCAATCAGGAATAGACTAGAAGCTAAGTCTCCTGACTGTCAATCCAGATACATTAATGTTTTTCTTTCCCATTAGAGGAATCAAATTTCTGATGACCAAGCCAACTAGCCCTAATCAGTCAGAGAATGATTTTACATAAGAATCTTTAATTTTTTTCTTTACTCTTCTTTGGAAGGAATTTGGAGAATGGTCCTGAGGAACTCCAGGCCATGTTGGGTAGAACGTTGATGTAATGTGTCAGCTTTCATTCTGTTCACAGGCTCAAAGAATTTCAGAGCTTTATTATAAAGCACGTCAGGAACCTAAGAGTCCAGTCAATATCAGGATAAAAGTCCATATCCAACATCCCCAACAAGTAAGTCTTTGATTGAAGACCTCCGGGAAGAGAAGTCACTGCCTTCAGAGTCAACCCATTCTATTTTGGGATAACTCTGTTAAGATGTTGTTCCTTACAATGACTTTCCATCTATTACTTCTAGTTGTACAGAACAAGTCTTCCTTAAGAGAGCCTTTCAAACACACTTGGAGGTGGCTATTCCATCCTCCTAGGTCTTTAGTTCTCCAATCTAAATTATCTTTCATTTTTTCAACCAGTGCCTATATGGGAGCAACTGGAGGTCTTTAGCCCTCCTGATCACCCTGTCTTCTGGTTCTATTCCCTAGCAAAAGCTCTCAGACAAGGCTTACCCATCAATCCACTCTACTCTTGGGGAGGGAATATTATAGAAATTATTTATAGCGTAGTTGTGGAGACTAAACTAATATGAACACCTGGCTCCTGAGACCTTTATAATAAAGCTCTGAAATTTTTTTTGATTCTGCAAAGTAAATGAAAACTGGCGCATTATATGTAACTGTGTTGAAATTCTTCTAACTACAACCTCCTTTCTTTTATTTAGTCTCTCCCACTGTCTCACTCTTCTTAAATCCATTCTTTGGCCTTACTGTGACTGCTAATCCTTCCCTTTACTCCCATTCCATTATTTTTTTTTTTTTGCTTTTTGGTGAGGCAGTTGGGGTTAAGTGATTCGCCTAGGGTCACACAGCTACTAGCTGTGTCAAGTGTTTGGGGCCAGATTTGAACTCAGGTCCTCCCTGACTCCAAGGCTGGACCTCTATCTACTGTGCCACCTGGCTACTCCCCACTCCATTCTTTTAATAGAATACCCCTGCTCTGGTTTCACTTCTCTCCTTTCACAGTCTTGGCCCTAAAATTAACCAGTTCAGCCATTTACTATCAGTTATCCTTGAATTGCTTTCCCCCTTCTCCCATCATCATGCTTTGCCAAACCCCATCCCTAAGTTATTCCCACCATCAACCTTACCTGCTCCTATCCATATGCTGCTGAATACTAGTGGAAAAAGTTATTCAACTATACTGTCTTCATTACAAATTTATGTTATCTAGTTTCAGTTGCACCCTCACTGCTGCATGGCAATCCTTTTATTCTTCTCTTTATATCTTTACATAATATGTTCCAGAGTATCTATTCCAAACCTGTTCATCTCTCCTCAAATCTTCTATACCAGCTCCTCTTCCCCACCCTTTCAGCAGAGGTCTTACTTCCTGCTTTTATGAGACATATGCCATGCCCTTCCTCTTTCCTTTTGTTTCACATCTCAAAATCTTTTATCATTGAATGGGATGTCCCAGTAAAGACTTCTCAGTGTAATTAAGATTTGGGATAAGACTGGTAATGAATTCAGAAGGTAGGATAGGGTTAAGTATAGATTTCTGTAAGGTTTTTTTAGTGCCATATGTCAGTAGTTAAAATTTTGTCTAGTTGTTAAGCCTTAGCCTACTTTTTAATCTTATTCAGATGTGCCTTTGCCCCTAAAAAAAATCTGGCTCCAGAAAACCCTTAAAAGGTTCCTTATCTACTCCCCTTATCTCCCTTTGAAAGGACCTTGCTCAGATGCCTTCCAGTTCCCTCCATTGTCCATCCCCATTGTCTATTCAATCTCTCAGACCTTCCAAAACACTTGTAAACCATCTTTCTGCCATGGTGGCCAGGCTAACGGATAGCTAGTGGGAGGGGGAATTTACTCACTAGGGCTATTTAACCTGGCTTTCTGTTTCTGTGTCTTTGTCTCCCCTCATCGGAGCATACTGGTGGAGGGACACCCAAATCTCCAGATTTGAAATAATAATAATA